GACATTGAATTTTACTCTCCCCTCTTTGAGTGTCCCCTCCAATTTTGTCGCCAACATCTGGCCCCAGTTTTTCCTGGAGAAGCCTCGTGACCACCTTCATCAGAGCGAAGAAGACCCACCTATCTTTTGAGCATGCCTTGACTGTTTGTGGTAGGAACCCAGGGTCAAGAAATAGCTTCAACCTCAATGAAATTTGCACTCGGAAAAGCCCCAACCAGCTTAAAATTCAAGAGATGCTCGAGGGCCTTCCTGAACTGGAGCCTTAAATGGAGACGATGAACAAAAGCAACACGTGAAAGGGCTGACTCGCACAGATTGGTACAAGGGGTCAGTGGGAGTCGGGGTGAAACCAAGTTCTCTGAGTCACCACTGCCTCAGCCCATCAATTATGGCGCCTTCTCCGCATATAATGAAGCACTTTGTTCACTTTGTCCATTTACACCAGGCTAGGAGCAAGTTACTCCTTCCCTTCGTTATTATGACGCGGCACAGGAAAACCAGCCGGCGGGCACGACCCAGCTTGCCGGGCTGAAAGCAGATGGGTAAAAGAAAAAATAATAATAAAAAAAACCCAACCAAGCAGGGGAAGCGCGGGTCAGCTATGATTCAATAAAACCTGACGTGGCGAAATTAAATGCGGGGGTGGAAAGAAAAAAAATAAGAATTGGAGGGTGGTTGGAGAGTTGCTGCAGCCACAGGATCCGGGGTCGTGGTTTTCTCTTTTTATTCAGCTTGGCAGCGGGGAGAAGGAAGAAACCCCTCGTGGCTTTCCTTGGAGGGTCCATCAGGCGCTGACTCTCGCTGCCTGCACCTGGCATCTGTCTCTCCTCTTTCTATTCTGGGAGGGCGAGCGAACAGCTGAGCTCCGCCGGACGCGAGGGAGGCAGATGGGGCGTGAATTCGGCAGCGATTGTGCTGCTCATTCGTTTGGCAGCCAAAACGACCGGCACGGGATGGAACAAACACGGGGGGCGGGTTGGGGAGGGGGTGGAAGCACTGAAGAGCTTCTCACCACCCTTAATTTTCCTATCGATGGGAGTTTTCCACGATAAATCTGCATAAACGTGGAGTTTTCCCTTCTTCTTTCCTAAATCTGCCGTAAGCACGGAGGGGTTCTAGTTGTCACCCTGATTCTCGTCAGGTATTTTATCAGGCAGGCTGTTCTATTTCTTCCTGTAGTGCATTTCTTTCACTTTTTTGGTCAATGGGAACAGACATCCCTGTTTCCCTGCTCAGTTAGCTGCGCACAAGGATGTGCACGCACTGCTGAATATTTGGGTAACAAAAGTAGAAAGGAGGAAGCTTCCTCTGCGGGATAGAAACACAAATTTGCAGATTTTTTTACCAACCTTCTGCTTTATCAGCAGTTTGTTCTGCAAGCCTTAAACCCAGGCAGGACTTGAGCACCTTGGCAAATTTTTTTTTAAAAAACCACTATTTTAAGATTAGGATTTCTTTACAAAACCTTCCTCAACACAGTGAGTTCCATGGTTTCTCAGCCTAGCCCCTAGTTGCTGTTTGTGCATACTATAAAAATATTCAATCTGATGAAAAGTCCCTGAAAGGAAAATACACTGAAAGGGCGACGGGTCAAAACCAGGATGCATTTGCACTCGGAAAATTCAGGCTACTGTTGCTGAACTTGCACACTGTAGCTGCAAAAAGCATGAAAGCCTTAAAATATTACTGCAATGGTCTTATGCTGAATGAGGAGCTTTATGAATATTTCAATTACAAGACGAGGCTCGAGAGAATGGAGTTGGTTCAATTTTGAATCACCCTTGCTTAAATAATTTGCCCTATTTGGCATTAAATTCTGAGGATTTACTCCTGATCTTACTGCAGTTAATTAAACCAGGCTGGGTTTTGTTTTTTTTTTTTCTTCACTCATTCAGCTCACCCCACTGAGATAAATTTGCTTATACCAGTAACCCCCCGTGCTTTCTAAACTGAAGTCGCTCTAGAATTCCGTTTGAATCTGAAACACAGATTTATCACCCTGAATGAACCCAAAATTTGGCCTTGACTTCTTGATATAATTAAATGCCAACAGCTAGATTCTCTAGCTTCTTGCACCCATTTGAATGAGCAAGCGTCCCTGGAAATGAAGCCCTGGGTCAGCCAAAGTATCGGAACCAGGCATCCACGAGTTATCACCATTGCTCCAGCCTTGAAATGGAAAACGCTGCCACTTTTCTGGGTGGACTGAAAGCTTGCCTAGTTTCCCTGTAACTTAATTATTAAGATTTTCCCCTCCATCATCTGCCAAACGGCTGCTTTAACACATCCTGGCAAGGTGCCTCTCATATATTGCAGCAGATAGGGCTGGCGATGCACGGGGCTTATCACAGGGCATTAATTACTTGAGCACAAATAACATCCCCCCCTTATCTCAGCTTCACTATCCACTATGGAAATATATTCACCTTAACAAGGGAGAGGAAACAATGCGGGAGGGGGTAAGGTTAAGCCCCAAAATGACTGACGGGGTCTTGCAAAGTTAAAAGCCAGGTCAATGAAAATGAAAAAAGTACATTTCTAAAAGTCATGTTGATTAAACCCCTGGAACCAACTGCCAAGGCAAGAGCTAGATTTTTTCCCATGTCTAGGTATTCTTCAGTCATAATGAATAGCCTTAATTAAGTAAAGAAACAGGGTGAAGAAGCACACAGGTCAGCCATGCCTGGGCACTAGCGACACTGCACAAGAAATAATATGAGATCTGATACAACAGAATAATTCAGCTCGCAGGGCTCCCTCCCCACTCTAACCCCCCAAACAAAACCATTTACTCTGCAGTTTCCCCTCCCTGCCTCCATTCTCACAGCTCATTAAGGTGTTCCCTGACCATCCCACCACCAAAAGCAGCTTTCCTTGGCTCAAAAACTCTCATTAACCATTGCAGGACAGAAAGACTCCACACTGCTGGGGGCTGAAGGATGCGTTTGTGCAGCCAGAAAAAAATCCTTTAGGTTCAGAAAAAAAACCACGTAAGGTTTGCCCACCTCGTTTTGTGTCTGTATGAACGCACTTGGCCTGGAGATGAATAATTATTCGGTGTTTTGAGTGCGTATTTTTAGCTCCTTTGCTGGGTAGGTTGCATAAATGCGAGCGGTTATTTGTGCGTGAATGGTGTGTTTACAGGCTATAAATGTTTCTTGTGGAGTATTAGTTAATATTTCTGAAAGTACGAGGGCTGGTGTATAGTCTACGCTGGATATTGATGTGGGTGGACATATCTATGTGAGCTATTTTAAGAGAGGCTCAGCCTTGTGTTTTAATGTTCATTACAGCAAAGAGTGGGTCTATTATGCTCTCGTTCCCATGGTTTATTGTCCTGCACACACTTGGGCAACAGCAGGGTAACGGATACGATTTTCAGAGATGACAAATCTGGCAGAGGAAGAGGCTCTCGCCCTTAATTTCAGAAAAATTCCCTAAATTAAATCTCTCTTTTTCAGCAAAAAGGAGGACACGGGGCAGCTCTGGAGCCTGCCTGAAATGCTTCTGGAAAGGGCACGACTGAACTACCGAAACCCCAATTGCCAGGCTACAAAAACTTGAAAATACAGTTGCCCACCTTTCGTATATGAAATGCAAAGCGCATTCAGGTCTGGAGGATATCGTACCCCAGGTAAGCTGCCGCTTCAAAAACCACAGTGAAGGATGTTTCTCTTCTTCTGCAGAAGTCAGGGAAGTTCTTTTGCTGCTGCTTGCCCCGGCACCGTCTGAAGCATCGATTCGACAAGATACTCGGGCGTATTTGCAAACTGCAAACACAGAAAATAATCCACGAAGCCAAGGGAGTACACGGCTGCTTACAGAACATCTCTCCAAGGGGCTGGAATTGCTGCCACCTTGCCCAGATCAGTCACAGCTACAGCCCCTAATGAAATACGCAGAGTAACTCTTACACAGTGTATATTCAAGAAAGAAAGTTCCATTCTGATTAAAAAAAAATATCATCTGCAGGTATCTTTTTTGTTTTTTTTTCCTGCCAAATTTTGGGAGTAAGGGAAAAGATTTTTCCCCAAAATGGCCTTTTTTTTTTTTTCATCTCTCAGACTGGACGTGACAATCCTCTTTGGGAAAGTATTCCCCTCTTTTGGGAAGCGTGGTTCTATGCCTACCCCTTGGTTAAGAGCAAAATCATTAATTTAATTTGGTGCCTTTTGGCACCTTAATTAAGCTGCAGGACAAAACGTGCCTAAAACACGTGAAGAACTTACCAGCAGGTTGCAAACTCTTACTTACCCAGTCTACCTACTCCAGGGACTCCGAAATTCCAGTTCATACACTTCCATGGCTACTTCGAAAAAGAAAAAACCTTCACTGAAGAAAGATCTAAACTTTCTCCAACCACAGACAGCCTGGGAAACGTGTCAGAAATTCCACAAAGATAGTGCTTCAAGTTTGAAAAGACGGGCAAAACCACTGGATAAACATGCTAAAGGTTTGCAGGAGAAGTGACACTGTTAATATCGGGCATTTTGCAAGGAAAAAAAATCATGATGATGGTGGTCCTGGAGAAAAATGCTAAAATCTACTCATAAAAATCAGGAAGGAAAACACTAAATACCAGAGATGCATTATTATTTTTTTCCCTCTTTTAATTGAGCAGTAACAACGTCTACAATACATTGACTCACAAATTAAGTGAAGGTATGAAACCACATTCTTCATACTGAGATGGCACATTCTGGCCTTTTAAGTACCCTCTCTCCAGGGGGAAGAGTTCTGAACGCCTTTTGAAACGACTGGTGGTGGGAACTGCGATTTTTAACAGTGACGCTATCTAGCGAGCCTCGGGACCAAACGGCTCCGCAAAGCTCACCGCGCGGATCAAAGGGACGGGGAAACTGAGGCACGGCGCTGTGCAGCGGCTCGCCAGGAGCAAGCAGCAGAGATCTGGATCTCTGGCTCCCAGATATCTCCTGGCTCGCCAAGCCACAGTCTCCCAGCACGTGTACGTGGGTAGCTACGGTCCAGCACTTCACGTGTTATACGGGCATCTCTTCTTCCGCCTCTCCCGCCGTCCCATTGGCGCCGTGCAACCCCGCCAGCTCACCGTCTTCTTCCTCTTCTTCGTCACCTTTCGGCGTCTCCATTTCTCTGCCTCCGCTCAGGAGGGTGGCACTGGAGAGGTGGCCGAGGAGCTGGCCCTCCCGCCGCGACTCGGCCAGCTCTTTGGCACAGCACGCCGGCGTGTTGGTCTCGTACGTGCTGTGGAAGCTGTTGTAGTCGACCTCGTAAAAATCCTTCTCCAGGGTGAGGACGGGAGTGAAGCGGTGTCCCCACAGCACCTCGGTGTCCATGTAGGAGCTGCGAGCCTGGCAAGTCATCCCTGGGTAGAGAAGAGAGGCATGTTAAATGCAAAGCTTCCTTACGTGCTCACCCAACCGCTTCTCTCATTTAAAAGCACTTTCGTGTTGTCTCCCTACCTGATCGCTCTGGGACACAGAGTAGGTCTTCGCTTAATAAAGCCTCACAAAAGCCTCTATCGTGAAAAAGCTGAGCACTCAAAGGGACAGAGTCAGCGTCTTCAGACTCTTCCCTGAACCTTGTGCTTATGGATCCGAAGCCGGGTACCTCTAAGCAGCTTCCCTCTGTCCTCACATCGCTCTGCTGAGCTTGGTACTAACAGCCCTTCTGGTGGATGGTGCTACAACGATGCCTGACCCTGGTGATGCACCTCAAATCCCAACCCTCACAGCTCCTGAGCCCAAGGAACCCCTGCCCTGCCCTCCTGGGGTGTCCCACCCCAGCCCTCTCCCCCTACAGCAACATCAGCAATTCCCTCCTGCACTTAAATTGAGACACCACGACGTGCAGCGACCACGACTCCACCAAGCTGGCTTTGAAATCTCTCTTAAGGGTTCTGTCCAGAATTGGGTTGGCAGAACCAAAACCCACAAGACCAGAGAGCCGTGCTTGCAAGCATATTGAATTTCTACGTGTTAATGGACTGTGAGCAGTGGGAACCACCTGCCAACGTCAAGGCTGGCTTCTCTTCCAAATATCTGCCTTCTGTTTGGCCCAGTTTGGGTTTTTTTTGGAATTAATTCTGATGAAGTTTGGAAAGCCTGAGCTCCCAAAGTCCTCCCACTGTTCTCTGCTGGAGGGTGGGAGATAGGCCTGACTGGAATATATTCAAAACCAGCACTGGATACAGCTCCTGGCCAATAATTCTAACTCCTGCAATCCAAATTACACAAACAGAAACCTAAAAACCACCCACTGGAGGAAAAAATATCAGCGTCAGATGCTTCAGGGGTGAGCATATCGTGTATTCTCACCACGTGATCTCAACTAAGCGACTGCAATCTCAGAGTAATCAGAGAGCTCCTTTCCTTAAAAACAAAACACCTTTGCGAAAAAGTTGGATATTTTCTTCTCCTATTTGCTGCAGTCCATTAAAAGACGCCCACACAAGCAAGTTCGCTTGCTAAGTTTCCTTAGTTTAAAGTCATGGGGCCAGGAGTATTTTAGTTGCTTGAAAGGGGAGAAGAGGGATGGCGACACACGCGACGCTGAGAAATTCCCAGTTCTGTATCACAGGCTGAAAAGCCAATAATTTTTTTTCCCCACCTAAGAAGAGCTTACAGGATTATTTGCTTCTGGGCAGGAACAACAAGTACAGAGTTAGTCATGGTGTTGCAGCGCGCTGCTTCCTGGGCTGGAAGGAAGAGCAGAGCCTGCTACGAAAAAAAATACAGCCATGGGAAAAGAAAATCAGCCCAAGTGTTTATGCCGTAAGGAGAAGCCTTACTGGCCACTGAGTTTTTTTGGGAAACTATTGGCTTTCGCTTTACGAGTCAAAAAACCAGCATGGACACCCCAGCGGTGACACCGCTTCGCCTGCCCTGGGCTCTCGAGGTGACGATGAGTTCATCTCCGCTCCCTTTTCCCAGCTAGCAAAGAGCATTTCTGGCAGCTCGTGGAGTCCTGCTAATTTCTGGGTCCTGCCACGGGTTTTTTCTCCAGAGAGCTTTGTCGCTGACATTTATCAAACGGTTGACCTCGCCGGGTCTTTTGTGACGGGCTCTGTCGAGGCTCAGTAACGCGGGGCTGCAGGGTTAATCCCTTTCTCTAACGCTGCCTCACGCCGGGAGGGCAGAGGTAAAATAAACTCGCCCTTTTTCCTTCAGACCCGAGCTGGTTTCGCACCAGAAATCACAAAGTGCCTCCTCCGAGCCCGGAGGCTGCCGAAACCCAGCCGAGAGAGCAGGAGAGGAGCCCACTCAGGCTCACAGGATTAGGTCCTCTGAATGAACCGCCTGATTTTTGCCTTCCAAGCGCAGCATCGAGGTACTCCCCGGGGCCAGGATGGGGTGTCTCTGCTAAATGTGGGGTCTGAGGCATCCTAAGGGAACTCCTGCCTTATAAGCAGAGCCTGAAATAGCTCCTTTCCCCTGCGGCGAGGAGTACCTGACAGTGAACCTGAACTCCAGAGACACAATCATAGCGATGTCCTGCTGTAAGTCTTCAATTAAAGAAGGAACAATAGAAAGCTTTCAGCAGCCAAACGCCGCGCTGCCAGCTTCCTGCAGTAGCTGCTTTCTGTAACCCCAGGGGTACACAGAGCCAGCACAATAAGACAACTTGTAATTGCTCCATAATCCCATTCAAATATTCCTTTTTAGCACATGTGCAGTGGCGTTTTAATTGCGTGGGGACATACTGCTCGGCAGCTCCTACATTACCCAGTAAACAACAGCATTGTCTCCGCTTCACATTCCATTAAGTGCTGCACCCGTGCTCCCCAGCCTGGTTAATTAATGCATCTGTAATGTCCCTCACTAATTATTGCCTCTGTAACCGCATAAAGATGATAGAGGAGGTGTGGAGACAATGAACCTTGCATTTATTTTTTGAGCGTATCAAGTTTTCTGTTAAGGCCATTAGAAGTTTAATCTGCTCTGGTTGAAAAATGGGAAAGTATGTTTAAGATAAATCTTATATAATCTGTCAATCATGGAAAATACGAAATGGTATAACCTTCTAGTTACAGCTTTCTCATCTCTCAATACAGCAGCTTAGCTCTCAGCTGCAAAAAAAACCTCAATTTTAATTGAAACCAGGAAAAAAAAAAGTTTGTACAAATGGCATCAAGTTTTCAATAAAGCTGGAACCTCACTGAAAAGTTCCAGGCTTTGTAGAAAGCTGGAGACGAGAGGACCGTCTCCTGGTTTTGAGCTTTACAATAAACATTTCATAGTGTTTTAATGATAATTTCGTTACAGCAGAATCCTAAGAAGGGGATTTTTTTTTCCTCCCTCTTGGCGGGGCTCGCTGCATCCCAGATCAATAACAGAGCTGGTGTGTGTTCCTGTTTAAAGGCAGCCAGTGATGCCTTCCTAAATGGCTCGTTTCTGCTTTCCAGGAGATGAAAAGATAGAAAATATATTGCTCTGTGCATTAAACCAGGTGTTTCATTACATTGGAGACCAGAGAGAGGCACTGAGGACAGTGTAAAAGAGGTGTCACGGAGCTCGACCAATACGGCGCTTGCCTGTCATCAAGATCAGCCGAGATCAAGCAGCTTACATTTTATCAAAAACAAAGGAATGTTGAGTACATGCTGACATAATAAAAAAAGCTCAGGAAGGAGCCTGGTTTCTCGGCAGCGTCCTCGATGGAGGATTTCAGAGGGTTTGGCTGATTATGCAACTGGAGCAGACGCTTCTGGCTCTGCGAGGAGAAGTGGAGATTGCTCCTGATTTCCAGGTCTCGGATACCCTCAGGTTACCGCTTAAAATCAACCTTCATTATCACAGGCTGGATCTAACAGCTTTTGCAGCTGTCGGGCTGCCCAGAGATGAAGCAGCCGTCGCAGGGGGATTATTTTCATCAAGCCCACCAGTGCCTTTAACGGGAGAGGGCGAGGGGACCACGAAGCATCCTCCACCACCCGACCCAAGAGACCGCGTGCAACCACAGCAACGGCGGAGCCAGATCTCTTGGTGCTGTTACACGGCCTGAACTTCCTCGGTTCCCAACCCCTGGGGCTGTCAGGACAACGTTTATCATCAAGCCTAAAATTAACTCTCCTCATTTCAAATGCCACGGAGCTCAGTGATTATCTGCTGGCGAAATGTCATGGGGATGCTGGCTGCGTGCTTTGCTGGGCTCTCTCTGCAGACCCTGCTGGAAGGGATTTCACTCCTCTTGTTTTACTTCTTGTTTTTCCCCTCGTATGGGATGCGCTACAACTCCGTAACGCATCCCCTACTCCACCTATACTACAAGAGCAGTGAGACAGAACCAACGGCGCTGATGTAAGCTGGGACGGCCAGGAGCAGTCATGACAAATTTGAAGTTCTTTCTCTATAATTAAGCAAGACATGTCTTTGAATTAGAATCAGCATTTGGATAGTCATAAAATTTATTAGTCCCTTTGTGTTAATTAAGCCAAAGAACACTCTAATCTCCAAAAAAGTCAATATTCCTCCAACTTGAAAAGGAATATTAAAAGGTAGGAGCATGGTCCTCCAATTATTTGTGCTTGTCTCCTTTAGAGGAGGACATGGCTGGGCTTGATTCACTTTGATTTTTACGCAGAGGAGAGTAATAGGATTTTAATTTATCTGAATGCTCTCCAGGCATGCAAAAGCTCCTGGGCACTGGGAATAGAGGTTAAAAAAAAAAATAGTCAGGACCTTATGATTTAAAGATCTTCAATTTAATTGCCATGTCTCCACCAGGCAGAACCTGCTCGCACCAGGTAACCGGAGGCACCCAAAATGATGACCCTGCCAACGACCACTCTGGAGGGCAATTTAGCTCGTGAAAAGAATGACTTGAGACATCTCCCTCTTCCCTACAATTACATAACCAGCTTCTGCAACAGGTCCTTCTCGCAGAAAACTTATTTACATGCCAAATGCAAAACAGAACAGTGTGGCAACCCAAACTGGATGATGAATGTGGGAAAACTCCATTTAGTCTTTGCACCCTTCCTTTGTTTTCCCAGGAAAACCACGATTAATTTCAGGATATCTTACATTGTGACTGCTTCTTTCAGTCCTGTATTTACAGCCAGGAAATTTCACTATATCCTCTCTGCAGAGGTGGATAAATTGAGGTGCAAAAAAGCTCCCTCTCACAGGGACAGGACAAGGTGAATCACTTCTCATCACTAAACCACTTTTTACCTCACAGCCTCTAAGCCAGAAATATATATCCTTTCCAAAGAGTTTATTAAAACTTCATTTAGTGACTAGACTAATCAGGCATCTGGACTGTCTCTCATGGCTTATTTAATGGCAGTGGGGAAAAAAATGGTAAAGAAAAGCAGGGTTAAAGGAACAAGAACTGCAATCTCTGTGCCCAGACACTGGATACAGAAGGAGGTTTGCAGGACAGCTACTGGTAAATCAGGGCTTGGTTAATTGTCAGTAAATGGCAGTGGAAGGGCAGAGAGCCCCCTCAAAGCTTGTAGGAAATGCAGACCACCTCATAACACAGAGTGATGGCTTACAGAAAGAAATAAAATGAAAAAACAGGATTCTCCAATATTCTCTAATTGAATCAGCCACGTTCTTCACCACAACCCAGCACATGGAAGAGGGGTGGGAATCTCCACTGCTCTTTTACCTTCCACGGGTTCACAATCAGGAGGGGAAGGGCAAGAGGTTTGGCCAACAACAACAGCAGCCGAGACCTATTCTGTCCCAGGATGGCTCTAAGTTTTTGTTGCTGCCGTGGGAAGCAGAAAGGCAGCGAAAGCAGAAATGCATTCACTCTGCAAACAGATTTTTCCACCCGCGCTTTCCTCCCTTTCATTGCAGGTCAAATTTGGGGCAGCCGATCTTGACGAGTGTCCCTTTCCGATAAGGCGAAAGAGACTTAATTCCCTCAAGTAATCCCTGTGACCAATTCATTAAGCAGGAACCGTGAGTGATGCTGCTGTTTTCCAGATGCCCACGAGTCAGATCCCTTGTCATCTCGATGGATTTTGTCTTGACAGTGGCCATTTCGCACAGCAAGGATCCCAACAGACCTACCCCAAAATTCTGGCATTTTTTAACCTCAGCAGAACAGCTGCAAGTCCCTAGAGAGCTCTCACTAGAATAACACAATGTTTAGTTTATTTTGTTTTTGGGGGCAAAGTAAAAGCATTGCATTTAAAGCTAGCTGTACCTTCCCGGTGTATTGCTGTTCTTCAGGGTGTTGCTATTCACCCTTTGAAAAATCCAACTTTTGGGGGGCAAAGTAAAAGCATTGCATTTTAAAGCTAGCTGTACCTTCCCGGTGTGTTGCTGTTCTTCGGGGTGTTGCTATTCACCCTTTGAAAAATCCAAGTCAACTCAAAGTCAAAACAAAACCTAAAGTCAAAAAAAACCCCAGGGTTTTAAAGCACAACGTTTCACTTTGTAAAAACAATCAGCTTGAAGTGTTTAGGAAATTTAAGTCAACTTGAAAACAAAAACATTGCGTGAAACCAAAATGTTTCATTTTGTTAAAAACAGCAATGAAGTGTTTCGACTCCTCAGAGTTTATTCTATGATCTTCATTTGAAACTATTTACCATCTTCGCCTTCCACTGGATCAGAATTAAAGTCAGTAGGAAGAGTTACTTGTTTGGGAAGAGATAATACGTTGCATTTTGTAACATGCGTGTGGTTGGTTAAAGCTACTGGAAATAATTAAAAAAAAATTGCTGTCCTAAATTTTCAGTGTAAAACATTCACGCTTTTAGCCAAGACATCAGGCTACAATTTCTACAGTCACTTCTACGCTGGCAATTGTCATTTTGACCCTCTTTCAAAGCCCCTTATGAAAAAAAACAGCACTCCCTTTTCCCCACCAGGGCAGGATGCATTCACCATGCGATTTGCTACTGCCTGTAAAGACGGAGTAAGCTTCCATTAATTTTTACTCCTGAATAAAACTGCCAAGCTGACTTGGGGATGTGAACAGAGCTACAGATTCTGACCAACTGCTCCTCTCTGAAGGTGGTTGCTAATTTTCCGTAGGGTTTACTAAGGGAACAAATAGCCTGTTGTATTTTTACCCTGACTGGGTTGTAATGGTGCCATGATTTAATAGAAGTCACGTAAATTAAACCAGTCCCAAAAGCAGGCAGGGCTTGAACGATACGATAAGAAGGAAAGAACTGAAAGAATTTGCTCGGAGCAACTTTGAAGGTGGGGATTAATATCCCCCAAACAGCTTTATTGTGAAAGCGCAAAAGCCGTGCTCCCGCAAGCTGGTCTCGTGGCAAAATATCTAAATATCTCCACCCCCCCACCAGCTACCATATGTCATTCAGAAAACCACCTCGGCCTCTGAATCAGAGGCATCACCAAAGGTCCACTTTGCTCCCAGTTCCACACAGACCGACTCTTCTAGCCCCAGTTTTGGAATTTCACAGACCAGAATAATTCATTTCCACAGATGCGCGCTCCTTAATATCATTACGCGTCGGCCCGTGCAATCCCTCCTGGGAGAGGAGCCCATTTGTAGAGCAATATTATCCCTGTGCCATGCTTTTAATTCCGAGGTTGTTATTGATAATGACTTCCTCTCTCACAGATCGAGCAGGGGCTGAGCTTTCCTGAGAGGAAAGCAGTCAAACAGAATTTGACAGCGTCACTGTGTGACAAGGAAAGAGGCTTTGGACCAACGAGGAACTGCATCCCGTGCTCAGATTAGGAGGTTCTAGCAGCTAGTAAATGTTTAGGCTACAAAATAAGCTTCCGTTACAAATCTCTGCCTTTGATAGTCTTTTCCACCCACCCCTGCTTTTGCCGCGTCTCCGCAACGCTCTGCTGGGAAAGAATTATTTGCCTGGTAATGCCAAATGAATTCCACTTTGTGCTCCAGCCCAGGCATCAGGCAATCTCATCCAAACCTCTCGTCAACGCTGTTCGGAGAAGCCAGCTCTTGCCACTCACCTAACGACTAAAAGGAGATGGCAGGGAAGCTGAAGTAGCTCTTGAGAGAGCTGTCTTTAAGAGCAAAAGCCTGAGATGGAGGAACGTGAGCGGCTCTTTCCCCGGTTTGGAGACTAACGAGGACCAATCTCAAGAAGGGCCCAAAGTTAGTAGTAAGGAAAGGCTGAAAATCCTCACTTGTGTTTCAGAGAGAACTCAGATGGAGAGAAAACCCCAAATGTCACCGACTCATGCCACCTCGTAACTAAAATCTTTAAACACCAAAGGGCAAAACTACTTACAAAAGCTTTTTGGCAGCTCTGACCCTTTTTGTGTTTCCGCATCTCTAGACAGCCACTCGCTCCTCAGTGCTGCCTGGAGCCCCGTTCCCCTTAAAGGCCCTGGTTTGACTCAGGCATGTTGCCAACCCCAGACTCAGAAAAGCTGCCTGAAGGATCCCTCAGCATCTCAGGGTGCTTAGACACGCGTGCTGTGCTTATCTCAGACCACAATAGCCCACCTGAACCACTCAGGTGGGACAGAGAAGGACAAATCCCAATGTGTTCTCAGTCCAAGTGACACTGATGGTAAAATCTTAACGCCAAACCTTCCCCCTTCCAAACCGTGGCTGATTTTTGACAAGTCCTTACCTGTTGCTTCCACCATGCCTTCCAGGATGACCACAATTTCAAACTCCTCCTTCTCCAGCTGGGTGCGGGACATCTCCCAGAAGGGGCTCTTCTCATTGATTTCATGCGAGATGATAAGAGGTGACACCAGGAACAATCTGTCGTCTCCAGTGTCAAAGCCCACGTTGATGTCCGTTTGGTTTAAGGGGATAAACTCTCCTTCTTTGGTCTGTTTGGACTTAATCAGTTTGGCTCTAATGGAAGCCTCGACAATGTGGGAGTTGCGGAGGTCTCCAACCCGGAACATGAGACAGAGCTTCTCATCCCTCATGGAAATCACCGCGTTGTTAGAAAACATGAGGGTTTCAGCCCTCTTCTTTGGTTGGCTGATCTTGACAAACATGCATCCCACCATGAACGCGTTGACAATGGAGCCCAGAATAGCCTGGATCAGGAGCAGCACGATGCCCTCCGGGCACTTCTCCGTGATGACCCTATAGCCATACCCAATCGTCGTCTCCGTCTCGATAGAAAACAGAAACGCGGAAACAAATCCACTGAGATTCTCGACGCAGGGGATCCAGTTCTCATCTTCGAGATGGTCCAGGTCTCCCCGGAGATAGGCGATGAGCCACCATATGAAGCCAAAAAACAACCACGTGATGGTATAGACCATAGTGAAGACAAGAAGGTTAAAACGCCACTTGAGGTCCACCAGTGTCGTGAAGAGGTCGCTAAGGTATCGGTAGGTTTCTTGGACATTCCCGTGGTGGACGTTGCATTTGCCGCTTTTCTCCATGTAACGCTGCCGGGGCTTCTTACCTTCTGCTGATATGAGGCGAGTCCGGTCGGTGGCAATAGGGACATCATCCCGAGCCTGCTTGGGAATTTTCTTCGGCTCTCTGGATGTCACTCCGATGTCCATGTCCTGGTTCATGAAGATCCTAGAATCTCCGGCCATGACTGGGCTGCAGGAAAACAAAGAAATAAAGTTTATAAAGACCTCAGACAAAAGCCATTCTGGTTTCCTGTCTGAACCAGACAGATGAGGACAAAGAATATTGCAAATATTAATTGATAGGGTTTGCTCCATGCTGGTACAGGCTGATTCTACATCAGGAAAGCCTTCCACGGCTGTCCTGATATTGTTTGGGGAAACACTCTGAAAAGTTTCAGCGCTTCTCTCACAACAGCCACTTGCTAAATATAATGCTGCGCTGAACTGGATGTTAAATACCGATTCATTAATACACAGTCCCTTCAAGCATGAACCAGCTGTCTGTCACTTTGCTTAATGCACTACTGGAGCCTTGGAAAACATGGTGAAGAGCACGGTCTGGGAGCCCTGAAATAGGTAAACCTTGTTTTGGGGTTGTTTCGCTCGGTTTGTGTGGTTATTTTTACTTTTGCTCCTCAGATTTCTTTACACCCCAAATTTGCTGGAGGTAACAACTGGGAGCATCAAGATACATCAACACGTATTTTCGAGAAGGACTGGAGTTTTTGGATGTCTCAGGTTTTGGGTGCATAGCAAGAGAAACCTTAAAAATTAATAGAAAACGCTGAGCATCGCTCTCTACCTAAATCTCACATGAGTCTAAATTATGCATGAAGGTTTCCCTTACAGTCAGCACAGAAAGGCACCTCCAGGGATAATTCAGATTTCTGGAATGCTGAATCACCTTCTAGAAGACCCCACCCCTTCCACAAAATAATTCTATGAGCCTGGGCTCCAAATGTGAAATAGGCTTTTAATTTAGCCTCTTGAACTAGGTGTCTGAAGGTGTGCTGAAACCAGATCTACTGTTAATCAGAGATCAGAAATCACCCCTTTTCTCCATCTGACACTAGACAAAACTACCAGAAACATAACAGGCAGCTCTTAATGTGCAAAACTACATGTAACACAACACAAATAAAGAACATTGAGTGATGGCTGCCATGCTCTTTGCAGGAATCTTGTTTAATAAGATAATTATATACTGCTTTTCTTTAAAAAAAAACACAAACAAAAACCAAACAATCTGCACATGGCTCTGTTAAGAAAGGAGGGCCTTGACTCCGAATGCACTGAGAAAAAAATCTCAGTGCAAGACTACCGAAGAACCCTTAGGGATATCAAAGCTAGAGGAGCAATATTCTCCATGGCGTTCATTGTCCTCTGCAAATCCTATTAAAACCTAACTAAATCTATTACTGCTCCCTCTATCTTTAATCTCCTTATGCGCCCGTGAATGAGGAAAGGTGTAGAGATACAAGTAAGAGCATCTCGGGAAAGGCAATTTGAAGACGGAGCAAAGTAGCTCCGTCTTTTTTGGGTATTAAAAAGCACAAAGGGTGGGCGGGGAGGAAGCAGAGGCAGGATGAATAAACGAAGCGACAAATTTTCACTTCCATTCCGCCACAGCCAAGTCTGGTTAACAGCAAAAAAATTACTCGTAGCCCTTGTATAAGTCACCATCAATCATTACTCCAAACAAAGCGGCCGGAGCCTGGCGCTGGAACGCTACCCGCTGGCTCCGTTCGCTAGGGAGCCCAGCCATCTGTCCGCAGCACCATCCCAAAGCCGCTTCGTGCTGGCAAATTTGCCTGGTTTGAAGGATTTGGGCCAGGGCTGAGCCAGCGCAGCCACGCAGGAAGGGCGAAATAATAGATTAATGAACGATAAATTCGGAGGAATCGGGTTAACACAACGGGTCACCCCAGCACGGTGCCCCTCGCTCCTCAAAACAGCTTCGTCAAGAATTTTGGCAGAATATGAACCCCTACCTCTGTTTCTTTCAGTGCTGAAGGTGTGAGCTGGCTCATGGCTCCTTTAGATCCATCTTCGGACGTTTTCTAGTACCTGCTGCAAATTTAAATTCTCCTGGACCGGTGGCCTGGCTCTCTGCTGCCTTATGGTGCTACACACGTGCAAATTATAAGGATACATATTGATTCTCACTCCACAACACGCCAAGTGCAAGCCAGAACAATCACACACTTTTCCCTCCCCCCCCAATCTCTAATAGTGAAAGAAGAATCCCATCCACTGACTTAAAAAAATCGCATACAGGGAATTTTTCCACCTTCTTATGGATATTACTTCTGATCTTTGGTTGCATCATTGGATTAACCTGAAATTACTCCTTAAAAGCTTTGATCAATCCATGTAAAACAGGCAAGTGTTGCGTGTTTTCCATTTAAAAAGGGTAAGTTCCAAAGATAATTTTGTTATAAAAGTTGTATTTGAAGCCGAGTTTCACTCGCACTGAATCCATGGGAGAGAGAACAATCAATTTTAAGACATTCATCTCTAGCGCAAGGTTTCATCTTTTAGATGGTCCAAAAGGATCTTGAAACATATTAAAAGGAACAGAACAGAATAAAAACAATCAAAGAGCCTAAATCCCTAGAAATATCACTGCGGCGAAGCAGGCTAGAGGGACTGCCCATTAATGAAAATTTGGGGAATCTTGCTGTAACTAAATTACTCGAGGGACCGGCAACATCCCTTTTCTAATGCTCCTGATCTTTAACAATAGGTCAAGTGAAATCTTTCTGGAAACCTTCAGGAACACCTTACGAGCGGGTCAATTAAAGCAGAAACATTCC